TCCTTCCGCCTCAGCCTTCCAAGTAGCTGGAACTACAGGCGTGTGCTATCACACCTGGCTCATTTTTTGATTTATTGTAGAGATGAGGTCTCCCCAAGTTGCCCAGGCGGGTCTCGAACCCGCAGGCTCAGGCAATCCACTCACCTCAGCCTCCCAAAGCGCGGGATTACAGGCTGAGCCCCCCGAGCCCAGCTTTTTTTTTTTTTTTTTTTTTTTTTTTTTACAGGGATGGAGTCTTGCTATCTTGACCAGGCTGTATGTGAATGCCTGGCTTAAAGTACTGCTCCCACCTTAGCCTCCCAGGCATGGGTGCCACATCTGGCTTGATGTCTTTTTAGACTGCAGTTGTTTCTCTAGCTGAGTGAACTTAAGGAGCACTTAGCAACTCCATGTTTGTGAACAGAAACATGAATAAAAGTTAAGGTTTTCTAAGAGCTTTTGATTATTGTGAGTTTGCATCATTCAAGAGAACAACTATAGAAAAGAAGTTAGGGACCACAGGGAAGATTTAGATAAATAAAGAAGACTTTAAGTGTGAGTCCAGGTTCTGATAGCAGCTAATTAAATATCCAGATAGTTCCTTGAGGAATTTTAAAGTTAGTGTAATGTATGCATTTCATAGATAAACAACATTTAAAAACATAAATGGGAAATGGTGAAGGCTAAAGCCATTTACCATCTACCAACCACTAAACTACTGGAACTACTGTGTATGTGTATGTGTGTGTGTAGTACCTTCCCACTTTTTTCTTAAGGGTGTATTTTTATGTATTTGGAATCATAGTGTCGTACAGACTAATATCTGTATTTTCACCAAGAACTTTAGCATTTTCTCAAGTTGCATTCTAGTCATAATTATCAAAGAATGTAAAATTCAGTTTATATCTTTATTTATTTTTTGAGTTGGGGTTTCACTCTGTCATCCAGGTTAAAGTGCAGTGGCTCGATTATGGCTCACTGCAGTCTCAGACTCCTAAGCTCAAAGGATCCTTCTTCCTCAGACTCCTGAGTAGCTGGAAGTACAGGTGAATGAAGCCTGGCTTATTTTTTGTAGAGACGAGATCTCACTATGTTCCCTAGGCTGGTCTCAAACTCTTGGACTCGAGCAATCCTCCCACCTTGGTCTCCCAAAGTGCTGTGATTACAGACATGAGCCACTGCGCTTGGCCCAAAATTCAGTTTTTAACAAAAGTTCAGAGAGTTGCTTTGGAGAGAAGGCATGAATTGTTATTAATAAATAAAATTCCACGTATCTTGAGACCAAATGATTTTGGTTTGCTTTTGTCTGTCATACTTAGTGATCTTTCACAGAAATAGAGAACAGAGTACCATATGTTCTCACTCATAAGCAGACCTTGAACAATTATCATAATACTATAAGAAAGGAATTGGCAGTAGTGGGAAACTTCCGGGAGGGTGGAATTGGCAGTTAAGGGAAACTGCCAGGGGAGGGAGGGGCATACCTCATCAACAAGGGTACCCGCATAATGAAGATTTGTATACCCAACCCTGGATTATACCTCTCATCTTTAAAATTAAAAATAAATAAATAAATTATTTTTACCTAAAATTAGCATTGAATTTTTCTCTGAAACAAAAGTCTTGTTTTCTCTTGTCTTAGGCATGCAGAGGAGAAGAAGAAAAATCTTGGATACATCAGTGGCATATGTGCGAGGGGAAGAGAACTTAGCAGGCTGGAGGCCCCGGGGAGATAGCCTCATCCTAGAGCACCAGTGGGAGCTGGACAAGCTGGAGCTCCTGCATGAGGTATCTAGGGCGGGGACGCGCAAGTGTGGGGATGCTGTAGTAGGGTTTCCCACCCACTTCTCTGTGTGATCATGGCTTCAGTCTTCTATCACAATGGAGATATTGGTGAGCTTTGTGTTTGCAGATACAATAGTGTTGATCTTCTCAGGTGGAGAAAACCCGCCACTTCCTGCTGCTGCGTGAGAGACTTGGTGACAGCATCCCGAAATCCATGAGCGACTCTTTGTCCCCCAGCCTCAGCAGTGGAACCCTCAGCACCTCCACCAGCATCTCCTCTCAGATCTCAACCACCACCTTTGAAAGTGCCATCACTCCCAGCGAGAGCAGTGGCTATGACTCAGCAGACATCGAGAGCCTGGTGGATCGAGAGAAAGAGCTGGCCACCAAGGTGTGACTCCCTTCCTCTTTGCTGAGTGTTTTACCCCGTGAGGCTCTTGGAACTAGTCTCTCAATTTGTTCATTTTCAACACTTTTGTTTGAGAGCCTCTATTTCAAGACCTATGCTAATACTGTGAGTATAGAAATATATAAGGGCTGGGTGCGGTGACTCACACCTGTAATCCCAGCATTTTGGGAGGATGAGGTGGGCCGAGGTGGGATGATTGCTAGAGCCCAGAAGTTTAAGACCAGCCTAGGTAACATAGTGAGACCTTGTCTTTACAATAAAATAAAAAATTAGCTGGGTATGGTCGTACATGCCTGTAGTCCTACTTAGGAGGCTGAAGCAGAAGGATCACCTGAGCCCAAGAGTTTGAGGCTGAGGTGAGCTGTAATTGTGCCACTGTACTTCAGCCTGGGAGACAGAGATCGAAAGAAAGAAAGAAAGAAAGAGGGAGGAAGGGAAGAACAAAAAGAAGGAAAGAAAAGAAAGAAAGACTCAATTCTTACCCTTAGCAAGCTTATAGATTAGTGGGTGACATGTAATAGCAATGTGTGTCTTGAACACTGTGGGAGCCAGAGGAGAGGCTGCCCTAGGAGGAGGCTTATACACTGACCTTGTAGTGATGCACAGGAGGGAGCCAGTGACGTCCTGCACGATCAGCCTTAGGGACTTCACATGGGAGAGGGGCAGGTGATGGAGTGAAGGGTCTTGCCTATAGTACTAAAGAGTTCAGAGTGGCCGGGCTCAGTGGCTCAGCCTGTAATCCCGCACCTTGGGAGGCTGAGGTGAGTGGATTGCCTGAGCCCGCGGGTTCGAGACCCGCCTGGGCAGCAAGACCTCATCTCTACACTAAATCAAAAAACAGCCGGGCGTGGTAGCACGTGCCTGTAATTCCGGCTCCTTGGAAGGATGAGGCGGAAGGATTGCCGGAGCCCAGCAGGTTGAGGCTGCAGTGGCTGGGAGTGGCCACTGCACTCCAGTTAAAAAAAAAAAAAGAGTTCAGAGTGGATTCCAGGAATGCTACGGAAACATTTTAAGCAGGTATTATGTTTTGGAAAGATTTCTTTTTTTCTTTTTCTTTTTTCTTTTTGAGTTGGAGTCTCACTCTGTTTCCCAGGCTGGAGTGCAGTGACATGCTCATGGCCACCCCAGCGTCGACCCACTGGGCTCCAGCAATCCTTCTGCCTCAGCCTTCCAAGTAGCCATAACACAGGTGTGCACCACCATGCCCAGGCTGGAGTGCTGTGGCACGTTCACGGCCACCACAGCCTCAACCTGCTAGGCTCAGGCGATCCTTCCGCCTCAGCCTTCCAAGTAGCTGGAATTACAGGCATGTGCCACGACACCCGACTAATTTTTTAATTTATTGTAGAGACATCTCACCAAGTTGCCCAGGCTGGTCTCGAACCCGTGGGCTTAGACAGTCCTCTCACCTCCGCCTCCCAAAGTGCTCGGATTACAGGCGTGAGCCACCGCACCTGGCTTGCTGTTGCATTTTTAAACACTTCTAAACTATGGTGTTTGTAGTAAATCACTTTTGCAGTCTTGAGAATGGCTTTTTAAAATTCACTTGTTTTGTCATCTTTTTTTTTTTTTTTTTGAGTTGGAGTCTCACTCTGTCACCCAGACTGGAGTGCAGTGGCTGCTCCCGGCCACTGCCTCGCCTGCTGGGCTCCGGCGATCCTTCCGCATCAGCCTTCGAGTATCCGGAATTACAGGCATGCGCTACCACGCCCGGCTGATTTTTTTTTTATTTACTGTAGAGATGAGGTCTCGCTGCCCAGGCGGGTCTCGAACCCGCGGGCTCAAGCAATCCACTCACCTCAGCCTCCCAAAGGCGCGGGATTACAGGCTGAGCCACCGAGCCCGGCTTGTTTTGTCATCTTTATTAGACACGTATCGAACTTCCTTTGCTTATACTTGGTTAATTTCTAGAGTTGTTTGAGTAACACCTGAGACCCATTGTGTGTGTGTGTGTGTGTGTGTGTGTGTTTAAAGCAGGATTTATTGACAAGACAGAAAAGCTCCCAGAGCAGGTGGGGACCCAAGTGAGTTGCCCCCATTGCGTATTTTAGCCATGTTAGCTCCGCTCCTGCCATGTGTCCAGGGCTTCATTCAGCCGTTGAGTTTTAACGCTTACTGGTTTATTATAAAGGATAGTACAGAGGATATTGATGAACAGCCAGATGAACAAGAGGCGTGGGGCACAGTATGGGAGAGGGAGGCAGAGCTTCTGTGCTCTGGCCGGGAGCATAGCCCTCCAGGGACCTCCATGTGTTCAGCTAGCTAGAAGCTCTTAGCCATTGATGTGTTATGTTCAACCTACACTTGTCTTTTGCTTTCTAGTGCCTGCAACTTCTCACCCACACTTTCAACAGAGAATTCAGCCAGGTGCACAGCAGCATCAGTGACTGTAAGGTGAGCATGTCGAAACCATAATTGTAGCCAGTGTGTTGGTGACTGATTTTTCTCCCCAGCGGCCCAGATTTTCTGTCCCCAGACTACTTTTAGATGACTTTAAATGGGCATATTTGAAGATTTGTGGCATACCACTGAAGTATTTATCCTAATTTTTCATAATTTTAGCATTTTCTCAAGTTGAACACTGATTTCCGAAGATGAAAGTAGTCCTTGGTGTCTTTGAGTGATTATCAGATAGGGAACATTTGGGGGCTTTTTTTTTGTTCTTTTGTTTTTTTTGAATTGGAGTCTCACTCTGTCACCCAGGCTGGAGGATGGTGGCATGCTCCCAGCCACCGCAGCCTCGACCTGTCGGGCTCAGGCGATCCTTCCACCTCAGCCTTCCAAGTAGCTGGAACTACAGGCACACGCCACCATACCCGGCTAATGGGGGCTTTTCTCTGAATCCCTTGGAGAAGAATATTCTAAAGAAGTGGTGTGTTCTGTGACAGGGCACAAGGAAGTCCTAAAATTCTTGGTAGCATAAAGTTTTATCTCAACAAAAAATAAAGTGAACACTCTAGGTAACTCTTCTGTGTCATTCACTTGATTCTAGTCAGCTTGACCTTAAACACTCCTAGCTCATTTCTGCTATGGGATCTTTGCACATTTACTGTTCCTTTGCCTAGAATTGCCTTACAGATACTCCCATGATAGACTCCCTCATCCCTTTCATTTTTCTGCTCATATATTACTTCCTTGGAGTGGACTTTCTTAACCCCCTGACATAAATATGACCACTCTCTGAAACTTTTTACTACACCCCCTTTCCTGCTTTATTCTTTGCTGGAGTACTCGCTACTACCTGGCACTTTTTAAAGTGTCCGTTGGGCCAAGGGCCATAGCTCAAGCCTGTAATTCCAGCACTTTGGGAGGCCAAGGTGAGAGGATTGCCTGAGCCCAGGGGTTAAAGACCAACCTGGGCAACTTAGTGAGACCTCTTCTCTACAGCTAATCTAAAAATTAGCTGGGTGTGGTTGTACATGCCTGTAGTCCCAGCTACTTGAAAGTCTGAGGTGGAAGGATTGCCTGAAGGTCGAAGCTGCAATAGTCATGAAGGTGCCATTGCACTCTAGTCTGGGCAACAGAATGAGACTCTGACTCAAAAATAAATAAAATAAAATGAAATTTTAAAATGCAAATGAAATGGATTAATGAAATGACATGACATGATATGTTTGTTGAGTGTTAAGCTTCTGGTGGGCAGGGCTTCTGCCATATTCTTATAATAATGCCTGATACTAGGTGCTTGGCACATGTACTTAAGGTTATTTAATTAATGCATGAGGGCAGTAGCGACGTTAAAAGCCAATCTTGCCTCTTCTGTAAATGCCTTGACTCCCAATGTGACACTCAGGCCATGAAATATTTGTAGACTTGTTTTCTTTCTTTTAAAAAGATTCTATTTGTTTACTTATTGCTGAATAATAATAATTGTATATATAGACTTGTTTTCTCAATTAACTTCTGAAACAGATTTATGAAAGTGAGGCACTAGTTGTCGAAGCTCCTTATGGCAGAGGCAGCTTTTTTCAGCTGAATCTCCCTCACTGTTTTTGTTTGCTTCTAGCTGTCTGATATCTCTCCAATTGGCCGAGATCCCTCTGAGTCCAGTTTCAGCAGTGCTACCCTCACTCCCTCCTCCACCTGCCCCTCTCTGGTAGAATCTAGAAGCAACTCTTTGGATCAGAAGTAAGTGTCCAGATTCCTCCAAGAGAAGCCAATCTAAGAACCAAGGGAAATGTCAGTCTTCCTACCTCTGTGGTTCTCGACTAAGGGCAACACCATCCCCCAAGGCTACATTTGGAAATGTATCAGAGCCTTTTTTTTTTCAATATCTCAGTGACTGGAGAAATGGTACTGGCCTTTCTTAACATCATAGCTTACTAACTTTCTGCATTGACTCATTGACAACTCTTCTTCTTAATATCTTTCTGCTCATTTGTCCTTCATTCCTACCCCTGCTATCTCCCCAGTCATAACGTCAGACAATACCTGGCACACAAGATGCTTGGTACATATACGTAAGGTTATTTAATTAAGGCACGAAGGCAGTGGCAACATCAAAAGCCAACTTTGCCTCTTCTCTAAGTATCTTGGCTCCTAATGTAGTACTCCAGTCATGTAATATTTATAGGCGTGTTTTCTTTTCCCAAGAAGTCCTATCTTGGGAAAAATATTTTGATGCCACAACAGAACTAAAGATGAGAAAACTAAAGACAAATGTAGCCTGGATTCCCTGATGTATCGTCACAACTACATTTTTGCAACACACCCTTAAGTTCTTGCACGTCTCCATTCTTAGTCCTCGCCTGTGAGAATCCATCTGATTTTCATCCATTTGTCTGTCTTACTGTCCCAACACAGACACAGGCAAAGGTGTCTGGGTGGCTGGAGAAAATCGCTAGGTAGTTTCATTAAATTTAGGATGCCATTAACTTTTAAGAGGTTATTTTATGTGCCACTGAGAAAGAAAAGGCACTGCCTATTAAACCCATCAGTTGTAAGATGCATCCCAATTTAAGAAGTGGTGGTGAAGTATAAAAAAATGGGCTTTTAGAATCAGTGAGATGCAATTAATTAGGCCAAGCTGCCCTGCAACGATACCTAATAAGCCAGAGCACAGGAATTTATTTCTCACACAATCAGGTCAGTGATGCAGCTATGCTCTGTGTGGCCATTGGATGCCAGGTTCTTCCCATTTGTTAGCTTTTGCCATTTTCTAAGGCAATGGGCCAAAGACTTGAGAATCAACATCCCCTGGGAGGCTTGTTAAAGCACTGGTGGCCGAACCCCACCCAGAGTTTCTGGTTTTATAGATCTGACTTAGAGTCTAAGAATTTGAATTTCTGATAGGTTTCTTTTTTTTTTTTGAGTTGGAGTCTCACTCCATCACCCAGACTGGAGTGCAGTGGCCGCTCCCAGCCACCGCAGCCTCGACCTGCTGGGCTCCGGTGATCCTTCCGCCTCAGCCTTCCAAGTAGCAGGAACTACAGGTGTGCGCTACCACGCCTGGCTGATTTTTTTTTTTTTTTTAATTGTAGAGATGAGGTCTTGCCAAGTTGCCCAGGCGGGTCTCAAACCTGCAGGCTCAGGCAATTCACTCACCTCAGCCTCCCAAGGCACGGGATTACAGGCTGAGCCACCGAGGTTGGCAGAATTTGAATTTCTAACAGAAACTGATGCTGCTGGTTGGGTACCACACTTTGAGAACCACTGCCCCAGGTGTGGCCACGGGACTAAAAAGAAATGCATAAGGGAAGAGAGTTCCTATCCCAGAGACTGTGTTCACTAGGCTTTTTTTTTTTTTTTTTTTTGAGTTGGAGTCTCACTCTGTCGCCCAGACTGGAGTGCAGTGGCTGCTCCCAGCCACCGCAGCCTCCACCTGCTGGGCTCCGGTGTTCCTTCTGCCTCAGCCTTCCGAGTAGCCGGAATTACAGGTGCACGCTACCATGCCCGGCTAATTTTTTGATTTATTGTAGAGATGAGGTCTTGCCTGCCCAGGCGGGTCTC